TTGAAGGGCTTGACTAAACCATTTAGAAATATTCTCCCAAGATTTTCTAGTATTGTCGAAGCAAGAAAAAACTCAAGCACTGCATAATAGAGTCTTCTCTCTCCTCTCCCATTAATCTATTCACACTCAACTCAACTAATTATTGCATTAACTTTAGAATTCCTCTCAATCCTTTATCTTGTTTTATACAAAAATGGAAATCTCTTGGTGTATCAATCAAGAATAATAACACATCTTTTTTCTCTTTTTATTTTGATGATCTCCATCTGAAAACTAACTCATCAAAGACCTAAATAATTATATATCGATGGTTTTATAATTTACTTGATTTAAGACCACCTTGTCTATTGTTCCTTGTTTTTTTGTTCTTGTCCAATTTTCATATGAATTTGAAACCATAGAATATGAAACTGGTGCGATAGTCTCAGATCAAAAAATATTATATTGATTTAAGACCACCTTGTCTATTGTTCTTTCAGATACTAGAGATATCTGCGGTTATGAATTCTTTCTCGAAAGTTGAGATTTCGAACTCGAGGAACAACATCATCAGTACAGGGATCCCTGCATCTTCTTTGGCTGGAACATCATTTTCCGGGGGTTCGACTTTAAGCTGATGTGAGAACCAAAACGCTGGACTGAAAGGCTTGTGGGCAGTACTTGAAAAATCATAGGCCTCCGCTTTCGCTTGCACGATACAAATATTGAATTAATTCGTGAGATTTAAGATCCAGAATAAAACTCATGATATCATGAAAAATCGAAAAAGTTAAAAAGAAAAAAAAAGAAAAAANAAATGTAGAAATATAAGAGTTTCTTCTTTGATGTGCTTCTTTATATTTCGAGTAAAACTTTATTAAAAAAACAAAGAAGAACAAATAAGTAGAAGATTATAAATAAACTAAAGAAGAATAAGAGAAGAAGAAAACTGGAATTCCAAAGAAGAACAAATGAAAATAATGGTAATAATTTTGATTTGAAAAATGGGTATTATGGTTATTATATGGTAAGAGTATTTGAGATATTTTAACAAGATGTAAAAGGATAATTTGGACATTTTAACCTAAAAAAAGCCTAAAAAACTTTTCTATAGTAAGTTAGGCCTAAAAAAGTTTTGAAGGGCTTGACTAAACCATTTATAAATATTCTCCCAAGATTTTCTAGTATTGCCGAAGCAAGAAAAAACTCAAGCACTGCATAATAGAGTCTTCTCTCTCTTCTTCCATTAATCTATTCATACTCAACTCAACTAATTATCGCATTAACTTTAGAATTCCTCTCAGTCCTTTATCTTGTTTTATACAAAAATGGAAATCTCTTGGTATATCAATCAAGAATAATAACTCGTCTTTTTTCTCTTTTTATTTTGATGATCTCCATCTGAAAACTGACTCATCAAAGACCTAAATGATTATATATCGATGGTTTTATAATTTACTTGATTTAAGACCACCTTGTCTATTGTTCCTTATTTTTCTGTTCTTGTCCAATTTTCATACGAATTTGAAACCCTAGAATATGAAACTGGTGCGGTAGTCTCAGATCAAAAAATATTATGTTGATTTAAGACTACCTTGTCTATTGTTCTTTCAAATACTAGAGATATCTGCGGTTATGGCTTGTTTCTCTAAAGTTGAGATTTCGAACTCGAGGAACAACATCGTCAGTACAGAGATCCCTGCATCTTCTTCGGCTGGAACATCATCTTCTGGGGGTTCGACTTTAAGCTGATGTGAGAACCAAAACGCTGGATTGAAAGGCTTGTGGGCAGTACTTGAAAAACCATAGGCCTCCGCTTTCGCTTGCACGATACAAATATTGAATTAATTCGTGAGATTTAAGATCTAGAATAAAACTCATGATATCATGAAAAATCGAAAAAGTTAAAAAGAAAAAAAAAGAAAAAAGAAAATTTACCCAATGTTTTCTTGGAGATCGGAATTGAGGAATCCATAGTATTGGGGAAGAAGGTGGGGTGGGGTATAAAGTTTAAAAGATTTGGGATTGTAGGTGGCACATATAGAAAATTTGGATTTAATTTGTCAAAAAATAAAAAGAATGGGCATTGAAATTGCAATTATTTGTTTTTAATTTTGACAATTTTTATTGTTTTTAACAAAAAATTTGACTGAACTTGACGACAAAGGGGTTTTTTCACACAAAATATTTCAAACATGACGGTTTCCAATAGGTAAGGAGGTATATCGCAAATGGAAACGTTTTTAGGGAGTTTTTTTTGGCTATTAATCCTTAGTTTCTTTAATCCAAGGAAACTTTGTACAGTCACACTAGAATTTTGCAGTTGGCTACTAGTGGCAGTGGTGGAGGAAGGTGTCGATTTCCGTTGGTGGTGGAATGTGTCGATTGACACTGCTTTGAATTATTTTTGGCTAGGATTTGTCGAGTTATGGTGGTGGTAACATATGTGTTACCTTACAAGTAACACATGTATTATCCTAATGTTGATGGCAATATTGGTAGGATTTGGAAGATAGTAGCAGTGTTGGGAGCTTGGTTCTCATCAGGCAACGATGGTGGTGGAAGGCAATAATTGTTGGTATTTGAGTTGTTTTTGGCTAGGATGTGTCTTACGGTAGTGGTAACACATGTATTACCTTACAAGTAATATGCGTTAACATTGATGGCCCATGGGTTACCCCGAACTATACAATAACATATATGTCACTATGAAAAATATTATTTTTTAATAAAAACTAAAATGTTTAACAGTAGTTCACAAGTAACACAATAACACATGTTTCCATAGCCTTTAATTTGTAAAAAAAATATGTTAATTTTAAACGAAAGTTTAAAATATTAATTTTAAATGATAAGGAGATATATTTCAAAAAATTATAAAATTAGGTAATATAAAATATTAATTTTTAATAAAAGAGATGTATTTTTTAAAGTATTATAGAGGGGGCTATTTTCAAACTTTTGGAAAAAACTAGGGTAATTTTGATTTTAACATAGACATCCTAAATTTAAGGGACCAAAAGGCAAAAGGTATTCGTTCAGTATAGGCAGCGTTAATCAGTGTGATTTAAAAAACCGATAGAGTAAACGCTTGAGATTAAGGATTGGTTTGTGATCTTTGCTCTAGTAATGCATAAGATAAATAAAACCACCCTACTTAGGAGAGTTGACAACCAAGTTATCCGAATAAAGTAATAGTCTCTATCGAGCAAAACTAGCCATATTTAGATGCGCAAACTCACTTTATCTATATGTAAGTTCCTACACACACAAGTGTTTTAGATCATAGAAATTCAATTTAAATGTTGCATAACCTATAAAGAGTATCTTTTTATCTCTTATCTCTTATAAATGACCTAGAGTACATCGTTTATCTTAACATGCAGAAATTGTCCATAGTGATGGAAAAATACAAAGAGAAGTATAAAGATATCACCGGGTTTTGATTACAGTGGAAGGGGAAAAACGTTAAACTATTGTTGATCATCTCAACACGAATCCCAACAACAAATCTCTGGCCTTGATTTTTGAACGATGCAATATTGCCCAATTGGAATGATTTTCTTTCGCCTTCCAAATTCAAAAATCCTCGCAACAGTCTTGATATTTGATTATGCATTTTTCTATCAAAATTGCTTCACTCTTCAATGCAAGATGAAGATCTATATTAGTCCCTCCATTATGTTAAAATTCATGCCCTAATGCCATTTTACTTAGCGGTCTACTTGGATTAGGAAGTTGAAAATTAAAATGCACCGTAAAGCCATGGCATCACATGGCTCTATATTTCATGTTAGGGTTAGAGATTTAGAGAAAATGAGTTCTAATTCAGTCCCAAGCTGCTGATCGTCTTATTGCTCTATGGAAGGCTTATGGTGCTTAGTGTTAAAGTTGTCTCTGACCTCCCAATTAGGCAATCACTAAAATGGGTGAACGATTTTGGTGTTAATTCTTTATTGTTATTTACCGTTTTCGTGTGATTGATTTGTGATTCTTACAAACAGGGTACCAAAAACCGCAACACAATTATCGTTGCTTTAATTTGATATGATGACACGCTAGCTAATCCATAAATTATTCTTTAC